CGAACATCTGGGTTGTGCTGTTCTGTTGTAAATAAATCTTAACCAATGATTCCTAATTGCATCTACTTCCAGAAGGCCAAATAAAGTGCTTTTGCTTTCGCACTGAATCACACAGCGTCTCTCTGACATGGCTGCATCAACACTACTGCTGTTCCTGAAACCACGCCTTCTTTCTTTGCGTGCACATTTGGGCGGCATCATGCTAATATTTCCACATAGTGATGTAGATATGTGGGGACGTGTTAGAACGAGCCGTTTTAGGTAGGCGTGGTTGACTCTTAACTTTTATAAAGAATATCTCTTTGGATTTGAGACTTTAGTCTTTGCAACTTTACAGATCTTCTTTATGCACCAAGAGCTTGTAACACTTCAAAGAGAAAGGAAAAATTGAAATTGCATCATATGACCCCTTTAATAACTACTATTAATTTTGTATTTAATCATTTATAAATGATATATAATTGTCCATAAAGGCTGGAAGTGAAAAACCTCTTATATTCAGGTGTGTATAATTATTTGGCATGTTTTCTTTTACATATAAAATGAGCCAAAAAGAGATTTAACTCAGACTGAAAGTCAAAATACCACTCTTTCAAGAATTTATCTTCCAGAATCTGGCAGTAAGTTTTGGGAGTTCATTTTTTAGTCCATCTCCTATCCTGAAAAGTTTGGCAGAGATGGACTAAAAATTAACTCCCAAAACTTACTGCCAGATTCTGAAAGATAAATTCTTGAAAGAGTGGTACAAGAGGATGTGGTGCTGGTCCTTCAAGAGTCATTCTCAACTTATCTGTCTATAAAGCCTATAAAAATCGGTCTTCATGTATTTCACAACACTTCAGCATGTTATTCTTATTAAGTGAGGGTCATTTTTTAGGATTTTTTTACCCAAACAAAGTCTCTGAGAACCTGAAACAATGCACTTCTGGGGCCTCATTTCTAAAATCTAAGGCAACATTCATATTTATTAAAACGGTCTTTGACGTGGAAAAGTACTTACCGCCACGTCAGGGTCTGAGCGGGCGTACGCACTTTTCCTTGTGGCAAAGTCAGAGTACTGCAGCTATTTGAACATCTAAGCTGCAATAATAATTAAAGCGGTGTACGTGCAAGCACCGAATTCATCATAAACAACAAAGATGCAGTGTAAGAGATTAATTGTGCAGTGTAGTCAGATTTTTTATTATCGGGAGTTTTTGCGAGATTAAACTGACCTTTTTAGTAGCCTAGTGTTGAGAGTTTATTCCATGTTGTTTTTTTATTATTTTGTTTTACAAGAGAACTTGCGAACTCTTGATTTACTACTAATGCATTAAATAGAAAAAAGGATGGTTCACTTTTTATAAGATGACTGAAAATTTTACTTGAATTCGTAGTTTATTCATTTGGAAACCTAATTGTTTTATAATTACTATTAGGCCTATTATTATTATTTCTGTTGTTTCTAGAAGTAGTAATTTTGATAATAGCCAATTGAAAAAATATAACCACACACACATTGTTTGTCCACAGAATAATTAAACATTATTAAATAAAAAGCATCCCCGCACGAACCTTTACCTCTGCCAGCAGGACCTCAATTTCAGACTCAGTAAAGTTTTTTTTTTTCTTTGTGCTCATCATTCTCAAGCATAGAAATTCGGATATTGGCGTGTGCTCTTTTATATGGTAATGATATTAATTAGGGGGCATTTACAAGGCGGAGATCTGACACCAGTCAGCTGCGCACAATTTCAAGATCATTTGCTATTTATAAAGGTCACATCTGAAAGAGAGGCGCACGCACGTGTTTTTGAGCGCATGTTTGTTTTCTCTGAATCGCACTTACGCACTTTTGAGAAATGATCTTAGAACAGATTTAGGACGGTTTATACGCAACATTTTATAAATGAGGCCCCTGGAGACTCCGGGAAGGTTGCAGTTCTGGAAAATGGTGGCACTGGAGACTGGTGGTTAATGGTTCCTGATGGTTTCACACCTAATTCTTCACCTTAATTCTTAATTCTTTTGCAGTTAGCATGTGTCTTTTCTTCTCCACATGTTGAGCAATGAGCATTTCGCTGTCCAAAGGTTATGCCTTAACTTAGCAAATTCTAGTATTGCATCCTTCTCATGGGCATTTAATAATTTTTGACTTTCAGTCCGAGTTAAATCTCTTTTTTGGCTCATTTTATCTGTAAAAGAAAACATGCCTAATAATTCTGCACACCTGAACATAAAAGGCTTTTCACTTCCAGCCTTGATGGACAATTATATATCACTTATAAATGATTAAATACAAAATGAATAGTAGTCATTAAGATTGATGTGGTTTGGAATTGCTAAACTGTTCTTGGGAAAAAATATGACCAGAATATCAACGTGCCTAATAACAACAATGTGTGCAGCACTGTATTCTGCACACTGATCTCTCCTACGACTGAATCCAGATCTGTCTCGGTCAGAAAGAGAGAATACTAGTGTGCTATTTTTGAAGGCTTTATCATCAGCCCCAAGCATATCTGCAGACTTTGTTTATTTTCTCCTTGATTCCATTAACTCAAAAGTTACAAATGTTATTGATGACATTGTAAGTCAGGAAGAAGACTGGCAGACATAAACCACTTTGGAGAAACACAACAAGCTAAACGCATGACGGACGACAAAACTTGCAATAACATATAGAAGAGACCTTCTTTTCTAACAGTATTCTTCTATATATGCAAACATTTTAGTATGAGGTTATTTCATTACAGTTAAATCCATCTTTGCAGATGCAGCACATAAAGGGTGCCCTGGCACAAAATTTGTAAATGAAATGTACTTAGTATGTTTCTACTAGTGCTGTCAAAATTAGCGCATTAATGCAGGCGATCAATTTTTCCAGTTTAAATGGAGCTAGGGTTGGCCACCCCACTCACAACTGCTGCTTCTGTCTCTTTTTTCTTGACAAGAATTGCATTTATTTAGACGAAGAATGTCTTTACGACCACATCAAACAGGAAACTTTTCAGAGGCGCACTCCACTTCGCCTCAGCGTCAGGCGCTAGTCAAACGAGCGTGGAAACGGTACTGGTGATGAGAGAGCTTCAGTAGAACAACAGTGAACTGTGGTCAGATGAGATATTGTCAGGCCATATGTCGGTAAAAACAAATTTTCACCTTGTAGCATGCGCAACTGACGATTCTCTGTCAACCAATCAATGTTCTGCAGTGAGTCTAGCTCCACCCTTTAGGTACAGGACTACTGTGCTAGGTACCCCAATGGAAGGGTCCCAAAAAATTGGTACGGTACAGTTTGCTATTTTGGTACCATTCTAGGGCCGGGCAGTATATTGAGTTTGTACGATATATTCTTTATTGTCGATGCGGTATGAGGCAATACCGTTTATATCGATATACAGTAGTTTGCATTTCCATCTTCCATTATTTGCATTAACCCTTTTTCACACAAGTCCACCTCAAGCGAGCGTAAAAACTTTTGTGCAAATTAAGGGATTTTTATTCGCAATTTGGTGTTTACATCACTCATTTCTGATGCGATATTACAAAATGCGTATAAAAACAGGGTGATGGAAACATAACTACTGTTTTGGACCGCAGCCTTAAGCATGCAAGTAAAGAAAGATGCGTAGATGTTTGATACCTAAGTTTCCTGGCCCACTGCTTGTCTAGTCTGCAAGCGGTTTTACCCATAGTACTGTACATAAACCTCTGTCTCTTACCGAATTGAGTTTTTGGTTGGTGAGCAGTAGGTTGATCATCTCCTTCAACAGATCATCCACTTTGCTGAAGTACTGCCCTGAACACCCGTGCTGTGTTCCTCCTCGACTCAGGGTCTGTGCCACCACTTGTGTGGCATGATGCAGCTGCTCTGGGTGATGCAGAGGCTGTCCAACATGGGCCTGCCGGAAAACCTCCACCACAGAATCCAGCAGCTGCACTACTGAATCCCAGACCTCATCCCCACCACGACACAGAGATGACTCATAGCCTCTGCTCAAGCCACTCAGACAGCGTAGGAACTGCATGTGTTTTAACAGCCTGTGATCCTGGTGCCATTTCTTGTTCTGGAGGGAAAAGTTCTGACTGTTTGGAGGAGTCGGAGGCAAGCATGGTCCCTGAACACCATATATCTGTGTTTGTGAGCTGTTATCAGTGTCACAGCCAGAGTCGCCCTTTAACTGCTGTGGGTCGTCCTGAGAGAGTTCTTTGGCAATCTCTTGACCTGTGAATGCAAAACACAGACATAATCAGACAGTGTCCAGAGTAGACATCTAGGGCCTCATTTATAAAATGTTGCGTATAAACGGTCCTAAATTTGCTCTAAGATCATTTCTCAAAAGTGCGTAAGTGCGATTCAGAGAAAACGAACGTGTGCACAAAAACACCTGCGTATACGCCTCTCTTCCAGATGTGACATTTATAAATCGCAAATGATCTTGAAATTGTGCGCAGCTGACTGGTGTCAGATCTCCCCCTTGTAAACGCCCCCTAATTAATATCATTACCATATAAAAGAGCACACGCCAATATCCAAATTTCTATGCTTGAGAATGAAGAGCACAAAGAAAAAAAAACTTTACTGAGTCTGAAATTGAGGTCCTGCTGGCGGAGGTAGAGGTTCGTGCGGGGATGCTTTTTATTTAATAATGTGTAATTATTCTGTGGACAAACAATGTGAGTGTGGTTATATTTTTTCAATTGACTACTATCAAAATCACTACTTCTAGAAACAACAGAAATAATAATAATCTCGCAAAAACTCCCGATAATAAAAAATCTGACTACACTGCACAATTAATCTCTTACACTGCATCTTTGTTATTTATGATGAATTCGGTGCTTTTATTATTATTGCAGCTTAGATGTTCAAATAGCTGCAGTACTCTGACTTTGCCACAAGGAAAAGTGCGTACACCTGTTCAGACCCTGTCGTGGCGGTAAGTACTTTTTCACATCAAAGACCGTTTTAATAAATATGAACATTGCCTTGGATTTTAGCGTACGCACACTCTAAGATCAAATCTGTGCGTACGCACATTTTATAAATGAGGCCCCTAAACTCATGTTTTACAACTGACCGTTTGCAAAGACCCGCCCTCCTTACTGTTGCTATCCCGACAAACAATGCAGCTCTCACACTACACTCATGTTCTCACGCAGTGAAAAATACATCGCAGAGCAAAGAGGAAACTGGCAACGTGCAAACAGACAATACAGAGCATGTTACTTCTGGTATGATACAAGGTCTCCCCACTGGGCAAAGTTACGTCCAGTGGATGTCTTTTTGAAGTCTTTGCACACGTTGAAAAGACGTCCACTGAGGAGCCAGAATGAACGTTTTTATGACGTCTTTTTTTGACGTATTCTGCGCGTCCGATATAGACATTCATGGAACCTCTGTACAAGGTTAAAGACTAGTTCAAATGTGGTCAGTGGACATTTTTAACATAATTTAAGGTTAATTTAGACATAATTTATACTGTTTCTGGACCAAATAAACACTCTCAGGATGCATTAGATTTAAACTCATGTTATTTCAATGCAATTTCCATTTGTAATGGCAAAGCAACTCACAGACACTGTGTTTGTACAAAAATCAAGAAAATACAAATCTTTATGAGATCATTAAATGATCAAATAACTGATGATTGAGCATTTGGTAAAATCAACTGCAAATCAAAGACATTAAATCTCTCAAGATCTCAGCAGAGGAGGATCAAACCTCCACAAACAGCAGCACCAGCTTCACTCATTAGATTGACTTTATTTCTGTCAGACATCTAGAGAAGCTCTTATTGAGAATTAACAGAGGTTTAGATGTTGCTATTTGTTTAATTTGAAGTCACCATTGTGGTGGACAGTGTTTGCTTTAGTTGGGATCTTGGTCCTCGTACTTCTTGTGTTAGCTTTTCTTTGGCTGCTGTAACTGTGTTTTTGTGAAACACAGTTGTTGTGGCAGAAAAAGCTGAAATCGATAGTTAACATTTTCCTGTTAATGATGACAAAATTATCACAAAATTATCATCTAATGTTGTTTTTTAACTATGTGTTTATATTTATGGATAAAAGGCATGCACACAAAATATTTTGAGCAAGCACATCATGTAGTCACATGTAGCTGATAACACCTGATCTCGCGTTATTTTGGCTTCCTTTGCCACAACTATTGTGTTTCACAAAGACACAGTTACAACAGCCAAAGAAAAGCTAACACATGAAGTATGAGGATTGAGGACCAAGATCCCAACTAAAGCAAACACTGTCCACCACAATGGTGACGTCAAATGAAACAAATACCAACATCTAAATCTCTGTTAATTCTCAATAAGAGCTTCTCTAGATGTCTGACAGAAATAAAGTCAATCTAATGAGTGAAGCTGGTGATGCTGTTTGTGGAGATGTTTGATCCTCCTCTGCTGAGATCTTGAGAGATTTAATGTCTTTTATTTGCAGTTGATTTTACCAAATGCTCAATCATCAGTTATTTGATCATTTAATTATCTCATAAACTTCAACACTGTTTCAGTGAAGATTCTTTTATTTTCATGATTTTTGGACAAACACAGTGTCTGTGAGTTGCTTTGCAATTACAAAAACATAATTTAAGGTTAATTTAGACATAATTTATACTGTTTCTGGACCAAATAAACACTCTCAGGATGCATTAGATTTAAACTCATGTTATTTCAATTAAATTTCCATTTGTAATTGCAAAGCAACTCACAGACACTGTGTTTGTCAAAAATCATGGAAATAAAAGAATCTTCACTGAAACAGTGTTGAAGTTTATGAGATAATTAAATGATCAAATAACTGATGATTGAGCATTTGGTAAAATCAACTGCAAATAAAAGACATTAAATCTCTCAAGATCTCAGCAGAGGAGGATCAAACATCTCCACAAACAGCATCACCAGCTTCACTCATTAGATTGACTTTATTTCTGTCAGACATCTAGAGAAGCTCTTATTGAGAATTAACAGAGGTTTAGATGTTGCTATTTGTTTAATTTGAAGTCACCATTGTGGTGGACAGTGTTTGCTTTAGTTGGGATCTTGGTCCTCGTACTTCTTGTGTTAGCTTTTCTTTGGCTGCTGTAACTGTGTTTTTGTGAAACACAGTTGTTGTGGCAGAAAAAGCTGAAATCGATAGTTAACATTTTCCTGTTAATGATGACAAAATTATCACAAAATTATCATCTAATGTTGTTTTTTAACTATGTGTTTATATTTATGGATAAAAGGCATGCACACAAAATATTTTGAGCAAGCACATCATGTAGTCACATGTAGCTGATAACACCTGATCTCGCGTTATTTTGGCTTCCTTTGCCACAACTATTGTGTTTCACAAAGACACAGTTACAACAGCCAAAGAAAAGCTAACACATGAAGTATGAGGATTGAGGACCAAGATCCCAACTAAAGCAAACACTGTCCACCACAATGGTGACGTCAAATGAAACAAATACCAACATCTAAATCTCTGTTAATTCTCAATAAGAGCTTCTCTAGATGTCTGACAGAAATAAAGTCAATCTAATGAGTGAAGCTGGTGATGCTGTTTGTGGAGATGTTTGATCCTCCTCTGCTGAGATCTTGAGAGATTTAATGTCTTTTATTTGCAGTTGATTTTACCAAATGCTCAATCATCAGTTATTTGATCATTTAATTATCTCATAAACTTCAACACTGTTTCAGTGAAGATTCTTTTATTTTCATGATTTTTGGACAAACACAGTGTCTGTGAGTTGCTTTGCAATTACAAACGGAAATTACATTGAAATAACATGAGTTTAAATCTAATGCATCCTGAGAGTGTTTATTTGGTCCAGAAACAGTATAAATTATGTCTAAATTAACCTTAAATTATGTTAAAAATAATGTCCACTGACCACATTTGAACTAGTTTTTAACCTTGTATGGAGGTTCCATGAATGTCTAAATCAGACGCGCAGAACATGTCAAAAAAAGACATCATAAAAACTCCTCAGTGGACGTCTTTTCAACGTGTGCAAAGACATAAAAACACGTCCTTTGGACATAACTTTGCCCAGTGGGTCAGGACTCTCAACTTTCAAATGTTATAATTTTGAAAGAAATTCAAACAATAAATACGGTTTTGTGGCTCTTTAATGTGTCGTGACAGATCACTGTATTGCCTCAGTTCAAACACCTGAACCGATCATCTTTTCATATTTACGTAAAGCATGAAATGAACATAAATAAACATCAGAAAGTATTTTATGTCAACCGCGGAACACAGCATTTTTCAAGTTTAAGTCCACAGAAGTTAATCTACTGTGGTTAAGGCTAGAAGGGATACAGCTGCAGCTACTGGGCATGTGCATTTACATGTTTTCCAAGCCAACAATATAACGTGAAACCTATGAAAATGGTTTAAAAAAGCACATGGCGCCATAGTTTCATCACTTTAGAGTGTCGCAGTGACCGTCTTTTTGCAGTAAAGGCCCTGCCATAGTTTAATGAGTGGGAAGATGACATGAAGTAGGGCTGCACGATTAATCGAAATTAAATCGCAAAGGCGATAAATCACAATTAGGCAGAAGCTGTGTGTGACGAGAGGGGCGGGGTCGAGAGCCGTGGGAATGGATCAAGGCCGTGAATGCTGGAGTAAATGCTAATGCGCTACACCTGTGCCAC